CCCACCTGCCCTGCCCCGGGCCCTGATCCAGCCGCTGCTGGTCAGTTTCAGCAGCAGTTGAATCAGGACGCCTGGGGCAGAGGAGATGGGGTGCTGCTAGGTTGGTCCAGTAGCACCCAGGAGCGGCGCTACTGGAGCAACCCAGCAGCACCCCAGCTGCTCTGCCCCAGGCGTCCCCAAGTCAGCTTCTGCTGAAACTGACCACCGCTGACTACAGGAAGCCCCAGGCAGAGTTGCTCTGCCCCGGGCTTCCTGGAATCAGCTGCTGATCAGTTTCAGCAGCAGCTGACTTGGGGACGCCTGGGGTTCTTAAGTTGATTCTGTATGTAAGTCAGAACTGGCGGTCAGTTTCAGCAGTGTCTGAATCTGGACGCCAGTTCCGACTTACATAAAGATTCAACTTAAGAACAAACCTACAGTCCCTATCTTGTACGTAACCCGGGGACTGCCTGTAAATGGAATTTGAGAACCCTGGTCTAAATGGACAAGACCAACAGACTGAAATAGAAACTAGTGATGACTGAGGATTAACTTGTATGTCCGCAGGTAGAGAGACCAAGAGCTATTGAGAGGAGTAGCATAGGAAGGAAAACAAGCTGTGGTTTCAATCTAAAACATGATGTAAGGGTTTGAGAATTATTATTTTCTTTGTTAGCATAGGTGGGCTTGAGATCAGTACAGGTGGGGCAGTATAATGCAAGTGCAGTTAGAGGAACAGATCAGCACTTTGATTAGCACCAGTATGTTCCATTCATATACTTGCTAATGCCAGACTTTGGTACAGGTAATGTCTGGGGTTTTTTGACACCCTTTCCTTGGCAGTGATTTTGCTGTAGAATAGAACCCCTAAATAAAACTATTTGGAGACTGAGTTCTTTCAAGAATAATGGGTTAACACTGCATAGCAACCTCGTCCCACCCTCCCTGATTTAACTGGGCCTTTCTTATGAGCTTCTCTCAACTATGTTGCAATCCAGGATTGGTCTGACTTAAAAGTTATGTTGGCATAACTATTATTGGTCAGGGGTGTGAAAAACTCACATCCCGACTTCACATAGCTTTGCTGACAATATCAGTGTACATGTAACTCTGTCAACAGAAGTAGGCAATTGTTGGCATAGCTAAAGCCATTCAGGGGGATGGTGTCCTTATGCCGGCAAAATAAATCCTTTTGTCAGGTCTGATCAACACCTAAAACTTACTGTGTTGCTTGGGGCTAAGGATGTTAAATTGTGGTTACTTCGCTAATTGTATAGTCGATACAATTTGTATCGACTATCTGATTAGTTGATAGAACCACTCTGCAGAGCCACAGTGGGGATAGCTCCAGGAGCTGGCTCAAGCCAGGACTGAGCAGTCCCAGCTTGTGCTGGCTCCAGGAGCCACATGCCCCGGAGCTCTGTATTTTAAATAAGAGCCGCTGGGCTTTTACTATGTGTAAAATACAGAGGCACAGTGTCCCGGACCAGTGCAAGCTGGGACTGCTCAGTCCTGGCTCATGCTGAGTCCAGCAGCCCCAGTTCACGGCAGACAGCCCCTGTGGAAAGGGTCTGATTCACAGCAGCCTGCCCTATTTCCCCGCCCCGCTGCCTCTGATAGGGGGAGAGGGAAGGCAGCACCCCAGACACGGTGCTGGGGGAAACCAGCTTAAAAGCTTGCGGTGCTCTTCAGTTCCTGCTCGTCTAGCGCTCCGTGCGGCACTTATGCTTTTGAAATGTAGCAATAGCCCCCTTGCTATATTTCAAAAGCTGAAGTGCCGCAGTGGGAAGCAGCACGAGCAGGGACTGCTTCAGTCCCCGCTCATGCTGTTTCCCTGCTGTGCCTCTGCCTCCCACGGTGCTGGGGGAAACCGGCTTTTAAGCTGGCTTCCTCCCCTCTCTGCCCCCCGCACTGGCTCCTGCTCCTCTTGCTGCCTCTCTCTGATAGAGGCAGCAAGCAGGGAGAGCAACTAGTCAAGTTACTTCTCGACTCTCCAATAAGTTTATCAGATAGTCGACTAGTCGCTTACATCCCTAATCGGGGCTGTGAAAAATGTAACCCTTGTGCAGTGCAGTTAAATCCACCTAACCACATTATAGATCCAACTAGTTTGGTGGAAGAATTTGTCCATCCACTTAGCTACTGCCTCTGAAAGATGGATTATCTACACCAACAGAAAACCCCTTCTGTCCGTGTTGGAAACATCTACACTAAAGCAACAGCACTTGGCCTGTGCCACTGGAGCTGCTGGAGTGTAGCTGTACGCGCAACATAGGCTCTGTGCACACTAAGGAGCTGTGCCAGCATAGGTATAGACAGTCTCAGATTCTGTATTGCTTTCTGACATTTGATTCTGACCCTAACAATCACTAAGGGAGTTAGTTAATGTTCACACTCAGAGTTTAAGTTGTGGTATCTCCCATAGTGTAAAGGTCAGTGTAGGAGGGGGTGTTGGGTGGTGATCAAGTTGCCTCTTAAGTACCATGGATACTATGAATCCACAGTGGCTGCCATGGCACTTCCTCATGTAACACCTGCTCTTTTCCTTCTCTGTGAGGTGGTGCGGCCCCTGCAAGATCCTGGGCCCCAGGTTAGAGAAGATGGTGGCCAAGCAGCAGGGGAAGGTGCTGATGGCGAAAGTGGACATTGATGATCACACAGATCTGGCTATTGAATATGAGGTATGGGCCAGGAGTATGAGGGCTGTGTTCCAGCAATTGCTAGTCAGAGGCCCGAGGGTGTCCTTGCATTAAGGAAAGGCTTGTCAGTGCAGCAGCATGTTGGGGCTTGGGGTGGGAGGAAGGTGATTGCTTAGGGACTCCTGTTTTATGTGTCTCATAGATACATTAAAAAGAATGTACAGTTGTGTGTATTCTTTACTGGACCGAAACAAAATAGAAACAAAAATAAGGTGTTCAATCATCTCTGGTTGTTGCTGTATCTACTCGTCGTATATGTTGCTGGTGTTGGTAGTGGGGAAGTGCCTAAAGTTCTCTCAACACATTTTTGATTGCCTGAGTGTGACATCCCCCCCAACTCTTGCTGGAGGTTGCTCTGATCATTTTCCAGAAATACTTAGTTAACTTTGGAAAAACAAATGTGCACATATACATGTCCAAGTCATAGTAATTTATTTTGTAGGAGTTATTTTGCAGATTGAATAATAAAAATAATGTACAGTTGTCTCTGTCCTTTACTGGACCTAAACAGAACAGAATAGAAACAAAAATAAGGTGCTTTGTACAGTCTTGGTTTTTGTTCCTTTTGCTTTTTTGGTTGCATTTTTTTAGATTTGCTAGCTACTAAGTCTGCTGCTGTGCAGACTGGGAGCCAGTGAAAAGTGATATTAAGAAACAAAATAGAAGACTTATTCAGCCCTGGCAAGGCAGGAAACAAACCTGGGATGGGGAGGTGGTTAGGCAGAAAGCAAGGCTGAAGAGACATGTGGTGAACCTGGGACTGGCACTGAGGAAGGAGCCTGTTGGCTCCTGCAGCCTGGAGTTGGGGGATGCAAAATCCTGGTTAATCAGCTAACTGGTTAAACCTTATGTTGAACTGGCTAACGGTTTAAGTGTGATCCTGGGGAAGGGAGGCCCTCTCCATCCCAGCCGGAGCAGTCCTCAGGGCTGCTTGCTCCTGCTCCCAGTCCCCCCATGTGGGGGGCTGCTGCTTCCGGCCCCCCTGTGCACATCCCTACTGGGAATGGGTGCAAGCAAAGCCACAAGAGTCTGCCACCCCAGGACTGAAGCTGGAAACTTGAGCCCCGTTGTCCTGGGGAGGTGCAGAGCAAGCTGGCTGTCTGGTTCTATGTCATTTGTGGCTCCAGAGGGCGACAGCTCATCCCCTCCTGCCCGTGGACTGCTGTTTTGTTACGCTCCCCACACAAATCGCTGCCTGGGCTGCTGTGGTCACAAAAAAGCCCCTGGTGGCTGCATTTGAGAACTGCTGGCTTAGAACAACGTTTCCTCAACTCCCGTCCCCTTTTACCCCTTCTCCACTTACGCTACATCGATGACATCTTTATGATCTGGACGCATGGCCAAGAACACTGAAGATATTCCATAGAGATTTCAACAACCAACACCCCACCATCAACCTCAGCCTGGACCATTCTACACGAGAGGTCCACTTCCTGGATACCATAGTACAAATCAACAATGGAAAATTAGACACCACTCTCTACAGAAAACCCACTGACTCATACAGTTACCTACATGCTTCTAGCTCCCATCCAGAACACACCACACGATCCATCGTCTATAGCCAAGCCCTTCGATACAACCGCATCTGCTCTAATCCCACTGACAGAGACCAGAAGCTTCAGGATCTCTACCAAGCATTTATAAATCTCAACTACCCACCCAGAGAAATAAAAAAGCAAATTGAAAGAGCCAGACGAATATCTAGAAACCATCTACTTCAAGACAGACCCAAGAAAACCAACAATAGAACACCACTTGTCATCACCTACAACCCCCAACTTAAACCTGTCCAACACATTATCAATAAACTACAGCCTATATTGGAACAGGATACCATACTCAAAGAGGCTCTGGGAGACAGACCCATAGTCTCCTACAGACAACCACCTAACCTCAAGATCATTCTTACCAACCACCACAGGACATACCACACTAATACCAACCCTGGTACCTTCCCTTGCAACAAACCCCGTTGCCAGCTTTGTCCACATATTCATTCTGCTGATACCATTATTGGACCTAACCAAGTGAGCTATAAGATCAAGAACACATATTCCTGCGCATCCAGAAATATAATCTATGCTATCATGTGCCGAAAGTGTCCGTCTGCTATGTACATTGGACAAACATCTCAGACACTTCGCCAAAGGATTAATGCCCACAAAACAGATATCAGACAAGATCACAAAGAGAAAACAGTTTCTTGCCACTTTAACCAGAAAGGACACTCTCTAAATGACTTAGCCACCTGCATTCTGCTACAAAGACCTTTTACATCTGCACTTGAAAGGGAATCCTCTGAACTGTCATTCATGTTAAAATTCGACACTTACCAACAAGGACTTAACAAGTCTTTGAACTTTCTCACCCATTACCAAGACAGTTTCCCCAATTATCACCTGTAATACCATTAACTCACAAACATCCCACTCTCCCTACCTTTAATATCAGCAATTCACAGACACTTACCTTCCTTCCTCCCCCTTCCCACCCCCCCGCATCCCCCTTCTGTTCTGCAATGTGATTTGTCCTTTTCATATTTGTTCATTTTTTTAATTGTATCCTTTGGTATATATGGTTGTGACTACTTTCTTCCACTATTTGATCTGAGGAAGTGGGTCTGGCCCACGAAAGCTCATCATCTAATAAACCATCTTGTTAGTCTTTACAGTGCTACATAGTCCTGCATTTTGCTTCTGCTGACTTAAAGGCTGTGAGCCATGTGGTGCGAAGCACTGTGCAGGTGTATAACACGAGGACAGGCAGTGCCCCACCGAGCTTGCATTCTAAGTAGGATGTTGGCTCGCTGATCACTTCAAATGCCAGGCAGCTGGTGGAGTGACAGGCCTAATGTGTAGCCCTGTATGCTGTTAAACACCCATTCTCGTGTGATCCACACAGGTTGCCCTACAGGTTTGGAGTAGGCTGAATCCAACCCCTGCCCCTCATTGGCTGGCTTTCCCTCCCAGGCTTTAAGAGGATTCCTGGCGGTTAATGTCTCATCCTCAAGCTCATCTTTAGTTTTGTAGGGAGAGTAGGTGGCAGGAGGAATAAATGTATCCATTTTCTGGCAGGTTGCATCCTCAGCACTTTCGGTAGCCCGTCTCTCCACTGATGGTCATGGGAACTCCCTGCCCTGCCCTACCCTCTGCTATGGCATGCTTTGTTAGAAGATAATTGAACACAGAGATGAATTCTGCCATTTTTTTGCTGATTTGAGAAATTTTAAAAATCCCCAGTACTGGGGCCCTGATGTCTCCCTTCCCCAATAACAAGTTGACAAAGAATGCTGCTGCCATATTCCACAATAAAGCCCTGTAGCAAAAGGTTTAGTGTTCACTCTCCCTTGTAGGAGGTGAGCCCTGCTCCTTTCTCTGGGGGATTAAAGCCTCACATCTTTGTGCCAGGATTGAAGCTAAGACAAGGAACTCAGAAAAATCTGTCAGCCAGCTGTGAACCAGCCTCTGGGGAATGTTCTCTCTCCAGGCGGGGGTTAGGGGGAGGTGTCACATGCTTGTTACTCCCAGGCAGCGGTGGGTAAGTCTTTGGGAGGAAATGGAGCCAGCCTGTTCCTTCCCATTCCCATTAAAGTGGCAGAACCGTCTGCCTGGAGTGTGGAGGCACAGCTTACATTAGGGATGTTAAATTTAGTTTAATCAACTGAGTGGAATTTCCATCGACTAGCTGATAAGCGGTGAAGCTGCAGCAGGGATAGCTCCCACCCAGGACTGGGAGCTAACCCTGCTGCAGTTCTGCGTTTTAAATGTATTAAGAACCCACCTCCGTCTTTCCTCACCAGTCTAATAGATGTACACAAACCACTAGGTAAGGATTGTTCTGGCCACAGATAAGAGGGAGAGAATCAAATTGTTCAATCAGTATTGTTCCAAGTCTTGCAGAAGCACTTATGCTACAATTATACCTGCGCAGTCCCAGGCAATGGGAAAACAACATGGAATATCAGTATTTAAAAGCGCTAGGGAAAAGGTTGAGAATTGCAGCCCCGTGAGTGTTGTTTCTCTAGTCAATGGGAAGTTGGAGGGATTAAAATTGTTCAGTTTAATAGGGATTTGGCTCAGGGAAATCTTGTCAAATTGGGTGTCTGAAATGATCATTCTAGTTTAGTAAGTAACCCTGGCAAGAGGATGTAAGCAGTGTTTGTGCTGCAGTCAAGGCCTGGATTACAGGCCCTCTTCCTGAGCCTTAAATGTAGACACAGGCAAGCTCTGTTAAATTCCCATTCTGCAGAAAGTTCTGAAAATGGACATGCTCTTTGGGCTATCCAGATGATAAACCTCTAGTTTTGTTAGTGCTTCAGACTCCTCCCTGGGCAGGTTCTTTGATTGGGACTGTGGTGAAATAGAAGTGTCAGGGGAGTTTTGTTCTTATCTTTAAAGTTTCTGGCTGGCTTTTTAAGGACATTTTGTTCCTGATTTGTGTTGTCCTGAGCTCAGTGTTAGATTAGCCTCCCTTTTGTTTGCTAGTCAAAGTGGTGAGAGTGGAGGGGCTGGCCAGCATAGCTCCAGGCTGTTTTAGGTCAGCAGAAAACTGGTGGGGAACCATTTTTGTCTGCCATCTTTTTTGGGTCGGGGGCCACTGACCCACAGAGAAATCAGTCATGGGCTGCACAAAAGTGACAAACGAACAAAAAAGCCTACCCCTCACTAGTGTGGGCTCCCCAATGTTGGGGGGAGCCCTGAGCCTCATGGGCCGGATCCAGGCAAGCCAGGGGCTGGCTGCATCTGGCCCCCAGGCCTTAGGTTCTCCGCCCCAGTATGAAAGAAAAGGCTATGGTGTTCAGGGTGAGAGGTCAGAAAGCCACCTGTTACGGGGCAGGAACTCTGAATGTCACTGCTAGCAACATCCTCTTCTAACAACAGGGGCCAATGGCCCTTCCCCCTTGGGATCTAGGGCTCTGAAATTGTTCTCTTCTTGTGCCCTGGGATTTTCAAGGCCCTTTTCTCACCCCCACGATTCCCCTGCTAGCTGCCAGGAAACTAGCTTCCTCCCACAGTTCTCCCCTCCACGTGCAGACTCTGGCTGCCTGCCCAGCCTGAGATTGCACAACTTCCTCTCTGCAGTGGATTCTTTGGGAGGCGGGGGAATGGAGAGAGACCCCCTTGGAGAACTTTGGAATGCCTGAGCATTCCTTCACATGGGTCTCTGCCTGCCCTTGGCTCCAGGCTGTCCCAGCAGATCATGCATAGTTTCCTGCTGCTCGAGACCTTGCAAATCCAGTTCTGCACTAGACAGGACTAAAAATCTCAGGAGAATGGAGTCTTTTCTCCTCATCCAACACCCTCTTTTTAGGAGGTCTCAGAACAGAGCTTTTGTCCCACTGTGGTTTCTCTTCTCAATCAGAAGGACAAAAATAGAAGTATAGTCTCAGCTTTGATCGGCTCTGCGTGGGATTCTGTCTCACTTTTCAGTTGCACTGGTTTGTTGCCAGGATGCATTTTAATCCCAGATGGGAAAGCGCGGTCCCTTCTCCCAGGCTGCTGCTGCTGGCTGGTGTGGTAGTTTTAGAAAGCAAGCAGTGAGATTTCTATTCCTGGAGACTTCTCCACGTAGTTTGTTCCCTGGATTGGTCCTAAACTTACTAGTGAAGCGTCACCACCTCTAGCCTCTCTCTTCTGCATAAAAGGGCTGGAGTGATGTAAATGGGCCCTAGCAGCCCTTGGTCTGACTGCAAGAGATTACCCCTGGGGCTGGTAGTGCTGAACCTGAGGACTTCCTGACGAGCCCTGGCATAGGGGCTGCCCAGAGGACATCTTGGGATGCTGTTGGAAACTGGACTGGTCCATTGGGCTTTTTAATGCTATGCTGGTGGGGCACCCTCTACCCAAGCAGTTGAGCCTCTGGAAGGACAGAGTAGCTAAAAGCCACTATAGTGGCTCCCCCCCCCAGCTGAGTTCTGTGCTGTGCCCCTCAGGGAACCCATGCACACAGCAGCTGGGAGGCAATATTCCCAGTTCGAGGTGAGGAAAACACACTAGCGCACTAGGACTAGCAGTGTTACCGTGGTGGCTCTGGCTAGCCACCCAAGTACAATCCTGCTTGAGCCACTGGGTAGGCATTCAGTCAGTGAGCTGAGCTACTGTGGCCACACAGCTGTTTTAGGCTCTTAACTTGTGTCTATGTGCTCAAGCTAGGAATCCATCTCCCAGCTGCTGCCTACACGTACCCTTGGAGGCACAGCCTAGAACGAGCATATCTAATAAGGAGATCAGTGCTCCTGCTGCCACTTTAAGGAGGGGTGGGGAGGAGAAAATTGCGTGTTGCCAGTTCTGTACTTAGTGTTGACACTTGGTTTGTGGTTCAGGGTGTGGGAGGAGGTGGAGGCCTCAGCCACAGGTGCACGTGAGGCTCAGAGCCACGCTGGCCCACGCACAAAGGCCTGTAACTCAATGCGAAGTTAACTGCTCCTCCTCCACTCTGAAGGCTGCTCCTGGTCCTCACTTGGTCCAGTGCTTGCTTTCATCATGTGACCTTCAAAGCTGATGGCTAGATACGTGAGGCTATTTTATAGAGGAGTTTGGGTAATTCCACTTGCTGTTTAACCTACCTTAGAGACATAAGGAAGGATCCCTGGAGAATAACAGCCCCAGGAGGGCATAATTAAGGGCAAGCTCAATGCGTCCTCATCATATCCTTCCTTCCTGAAAAAGAAAGAATTTTCACCCAGGCACAGCTACTGGCATGGTGGGCAGCTTTCCAGGCCCACACTACGCTTCTGCAGCTAGTCACTAGGGGGTGTTAAAGGACACAGATTAAACAGGCACTTGGCAAGCGGAGGAGGAGCCCCGGTGCCTGTATTATCTATATCTGGTCTGTACAAAGTCCTGGAGGGTATACATAGGAGCCATTCTTGAAGAGGGAGGGTCAGGGTGAAAAAAATTTGTCTAACTGCCAGTGAGAGAAGAGCCAGATCTGAGGGATTTCCTGTGGGAAGGATTTGCGTGGGTGGCAGATCCCTGATGGCAGCAAGAGACAGCGCAGCTGGGAATGTACTTGCTGAGAGAATGCATTCCCAGGATGGATAGCCTACAAGATATGGATGGGACACATTCCAGTGGATAAGCTCCAAGAAGATAAGGGCTATGATGGAGAAACAGGCATGTGGCTGGCTGTTCTGAAATGCTACAAAATTCTTTCTCTTGCTGTTCCTTGCTGGTTTAAGTCCCATTATGCTTTCCCCCAAAAGATGGTCAAGCTTGCGAGGAGTTGTTAGAGTAACCCACAGCTCTGTAGCTTGCTGCCAGCCCAGTTTGAGGGCTTTTCTTCCCCTGTCTAATCAACACTGCCTCTGAGGGTAGTGACTTGTTAGTGAAGCCAGGAGTTGTGAGAGCAGAGAAGTGGAAGAGGATAGGGAATCCTCTTCTGCCTGCTGCCCTACTTGGGAGAAAGTGCACTTCCACTCTGGCCCATATTGAATTCTGGGGGGAAATCATGGGGGCACATCTACACACTTATTCTGAAATAACACAGTGCACATCTACACTACAAGCCATTATTTTGAAATACTGTCGAGCTGGAGGACTTTTTACTCCGACTCCTGCAACCCTCATTTCACAAGGAGTAAGGGAAGTCAAAGGAAGAAGGTTCTTCCTTTGACTTCTTGCTGTGTAGATGGCACCAAAAGCTGAATTAAACTATTTTGACTTAAGCTGTGCCATTAATGTAGCTGAAGTTGCGTAGCTTAATTCAACTTTAGCCGTGCTATGTAGACATGCCTCCCCTTGTAAAATGTCTTTTAAAGTGCCCTATAAAGCATTTTTAAAACATCAGTCTGGTTACTATTTTTATTTGTGGAGGGGAAGGTATTTTGTCTGCATTTTAAATCTTAGGTCTTGTCTAAACTACAAAAGCTTCCTGCGTTGATTTTATTTAAATCAAGGCAGATATGAGGCTCAAAAAATGAGTAGTATCAATGGCTTCCATGTTCATTGTTAGCTCTCACACCTCCATTAAAGGGCTGAACAGAGAGACCCTAATTTCTAATGTCAAAAGCAAGCAGAATAAATAAAACCATGAAAACTTGTCAATCCTTTATGAATTATACAGAAGGGCCCAAGTCTTGTGGGGGAGGGAGTGGGCTGTTGGCTTTACAGGTCATCCTTCAATGCCATTGTGCAGCGGGGCTCCTGCCAGAATAGCTTACTATGTGTCTGTTTGCACTCTCTTTGCTTTCCAGGTCTCAGCTGTGCCTACTGTTCTGGCTGTGAAAAATGGAGACGTTGTGGATAAGTTTGTGGGAATAAAGGATGAGGATCAGCTGGAGGCCTTCCTTAAGAAACTCATTGGAGCCTGAGCACCAGAGGAAAACTGTGAAACCCTGCACCTAGGCCTCTGGATTTGGCCATGTTGCGCGTTCTCTTGCTGAGGCAGCCATGATGCAAAACTGAACTGCCTTGTAGAGCCTGTGCCCTTTTTGGTGTCCATGTGTGGCCCACCTTCTCCTCTGGGGCAACAGTAGTCCTGAGCAATTGTGAGGGATGGTGAGAGGTAAGGCCTCTCATCCTCCAAGTTGGGGGAAGAGAAGCTTGAATTGCGTTTCCATCTGCCATCAAAGACTAGCAGTGGGGGTGGGGGACAATTGCTAAATTTTGAACTTTCTGTCCTAGCCAGACCCAGAGCAGTAGATGGTTGCTCTCTGCAGGATGTGGACACATATTTTCTCTGGGTGGGTTTGTTAAAATTGGGGATTGCATTGCTTGGCCATACAATACCTGCATCTTTGTCCCTCATGAATCTCTGTGGCTCTTTGAACCCATGCCACACTGTCCCTTGCTGCTGATTTATGAAGAGAAAAATTTTGGTAGGTCTATAATAAAGAGAACTTGATTAATCACTTCTGTGTAGTTCTGTAGAAAAGCCTGATCTCTGAAATTGTGTACTTGGAATAGATAGGGGTGTTGCTGCTGCTGTGATAGCTGAGCGCAGATGAGGGGACTCCCTAAATGGAAACAGCCCAGAGAGGGGTGTCTGATCTGCATTAAAACAAGCAAGTGCATTATTTCTGTGCAGCTCCCAGCACTGCTCCTCTGGCTCTTTGGACTGGTCTGACTTTTCAGGTGCTGCTGGATTCAGATCCAGAAAGCTGGCACTTCTCCTGATTAGGGAGGAATATTGGATATTGCCAGTAATGTTCTCACCCCTCCTTTGCTCCTCATCTTCATTAGCTCCTGAGCAGCCGGTGAGTGCTTCTACGCTCCTGTTCGTATAACTGAATCTGTTCTTACCAGTGAACTCTGCTGCAGAATCTTCATGGGAGGCTGCAGTGATTAGTTCTGAGGGAAGAGTTGTTGGCGTGAAAGGAAGCTAAGGGGGGATGTCTTGTCTCTACCTTTGGACTTGAATTCATCTGGCCTTTAAATGATAGTACAGGCAGTCCCCGGGTTACATGGATCTGACTTACATCGGATCCCTACTTACAAACGGGGTGAGGCAACCCCGCACTAGCTGCTTCCCCCCAGCAGACCAGAGAGACGCGAAGCTAGCGCCCCCCGCCCCCTCCCCCAGCAGACCAGGGAGACGTGGAGCGGCTTTTCTCAGCAGACACCTCAGCTTGAGAATAAAAGACTGAGGGAAGTGAGGTGTGGGAGAATAAAACTCAGCTCTGGTGAAATGTTTGGCTAGAGTTTCCCGTACAATATGTACCAGTTCCGACTTGCATTCAAATTCAACTTAAGAACAAACCTACAGTCCCTATCTTGTACGTAACCCGGGGACTGCCTGTAATGAGTTTATATATTCATAACTCTTGTTGAGCACAGTCCCTCCCAGTTGCTTTTCCCCACCCTGCCTGCCCGCCCTTTCTGCTCGTTCCTTACACTTACCTCTGTCCTTCCCACCTGCTCAGCGGTTTCTGCTACCTTCACTAACCTCTCCCTCAGCTGCTCCCATCTAACACACCTTGGAACAACCACAAATTAGTGTTCTCAGGGTGAAACACTTGACTTTTTTCCTTTGTCACAAGTTTAATTTCACTTCATTTATGCCACACATTGGAATACTATCAATATTTGATGCCCTTCTATGCGTTTTTTGCTTTGTCTTCAGTCTCCCTTACCTTGGCTCCAAACAACATCTCCCACAAGATGGTTAAACACTGGAATAAATTGCCTAGGGATGTTGTGGAATCTCTATCACTGAAGATATTTAAAAGCACATGAGAGAGACATCTGTCAGGGATGATCTAGACAGTGCTTGGTCCTGCAGTGAGGGCAGGAGACTGGACTTAATGTTCTCTCGAGCTCCCTTCCAGTTCTGTGATTCAGTGATTTCATACATTATTATAAGTGGATAAGGGATTTTCCTCCAGGTGTATCGTTACACTTTATAATCAGGAGTACATTTTAAGGAGTGGTGATCAAAGTCCGTAAGTGCTGGGCTGTAGCCACAGTGCTGCTGGCAGTTTTGTTCTTATCTCAAAGCTGAGCAATGCGGTCTAGTCCGCTGCAGTAAATGGTACCAGTAGCCCAGTAGGGGACACTCTTTGAGTCAATGCTGAACTAATGCCCCACTGCCTTGTTATACAGCTCTGCTGCTGGAGTTAACTTTTTTTGAAAGAGATTTAAAACCATTCTTGGCCATGTATGATCTTTAAAGAGCCCCTGCCACTTTTTGAAATGGAAGTGTTTTAAACCTGCTAATAGTACCATGCCTCCTTAAATCCCCCTTGGCAATATCCATTCACTCCAGTATTTTCAGTTCCAAAAAAGACACTCCCTTTTCCAGCATATGCAGGAAAAATGGGGGAATAGCAACATGTATTCTTACAATAGTTAACTTTCATGCCTTACCATCATCCCTAGAACAGGAAAAAACAGACTTGGACAAAGTGTGACTTTGCATTGTGTGTACAGAAGACAGTATAAATTAGCTATTTTATCACTTCCTTCCAAAGGAAAAGACTAGCTTGGGGTTTGTGTGGTATTCCAGTATCAAGGCGCAAAGTTACTGGCAAACTTTTAAGATGGGGGTTATGTTTGTACAACTGTTTTTGTAACAAGAATGTTGAGTATCCCAGCATTTGATGTGCTCAGAGATTTCCTGTTTTAGTCATCCCTAAGAAACAGCACTTTCAGTGGTGAGAAAAAGATAGTGTGTTATGTGCATCTGATTCCAACCCTTGAAAGTCCCAGAATGGCTGGGTACACCTTTGACAGGTTAGAGAAATAATGAAAGGGCAGAGAAGTCCAAGACTGTTTTAGGCAGCAGGGCCTGAACCTCAAAAGTATTTAACTTCCATTGAAATGGATGCAAGTTAGAAGCGTAGGAACATCTGGTCCAGGACTTCTGGATTTTAATCTTTTTATTGTCTTTCTGGAGGAAAACTGTTTGGTCTAATGACAGCAGCTAATAATAATCTCCCCACCATGTGAGTGTAAACAGGAAGGTTTGCATACAGTCTCAGGGTGTAATGTAGCCATTTTTGCACATACTAAACCTGATGGTCTGTTGTGAGGGGGCTTGTGCAAAAGGCAGCCCCACAGCACTAACAGCTTTCTCCATATCAGTGGCTAAAATGCTTCCCTTTGTTTCTATTGCAGCAGAGCTGCTGTGTTCTCCACTTCCTGTTTTGAAACGTGTATGGTGTTGCTCTGTTAAATTTTTGCTGTGCTCTCTCTTATCAGTGGCTGCACCACAGTGCTGTACATAGTTGCTATAACTATGCATTTATATTTAAAAAACGGGTCACGGGCTTTAAATTAAGCCTACGTGAGTGTCTGTCTTTACATAAAATGTTTCTGTCCTTCCCTTCTCTCCCATTCTCTGACCTCTTGTCTCCTGGTAATCATCCAGACCCTCTGGGCTCTGTGGGAGGCTGCAGAGCCAGGAAACAGGGAGATGTTTATTAATCACACTTAGTACTTTTTATTTACAAAGCAAAGGCTGAACAGAAGAGACCAATGCCATTTGCAAAATGCTGTGTGCGATTTGTCCTGTTTACCTATTTGGAAAATAGACACCATACGTCCTGATCTGGCCAGGACCTCGGCCTTTTACTAACCTGTCCTGGAAATTAGAGTTCTAGCAAGTGACCTGGAGCTGCCTGAAAGCTCAAACTCGTCTAAAATGGGTTTTGCCCTCAAAAGCTCATGGTACTATGTTATTTTTGTTCGTCTCCAAGGGTATGTTTACACTATGGTACAAGGTCGAATTAAGATGCGCAACTTCAATCTCCAAGGGCATGTTTACACTATGGGACAAGGTCGAATTAAGATGCGCAACTTCAGCTATGTTAATTGTGTAGCTGAAGTCGAAGTACCTTAACTCGGCTTTTGGCGCTGTCCACACTGCAGGAAGTTGAAGGGAGAACACTCTTCCTTCGACTTCACTTACTCCTTGTGGAAGCCGGACTACTGGCATTGACCAGAGTGCCCCTTTCAGTTTGAATTAGCTGTCTTTACTAGACCTCCTCATTCAAACCCTGGAAGATCAACTGTGGTAGTGTCTATCTTCTCTGTAGTGTAGATGTTCCCTTAAGTGCCAAAGGACGACTCGTTGTCTGTAGCTATACTATCCTGCCACAAGCAGCCACTAAGCCTGGGAGTGTGGTTCATTCCTCCACATCTGCTGCTCCCTTGTGAGTGCAATGGAAATGAATCAGAGTAGGGAGCAGTTGCCTCTTGTTACTCAGTGCAGCAGCTGCAGTCATGTTCATCCTCCTCGGGGGGCATAGGAGCCAGGGGGACCCAACCGGACAGGAAGACACCAAAGAGGAAAGCCCCCAGCCCTCTCCTACAGCTAGAGGAAGTGAATGATGGAAACTTGAGAGCTCCATGAGGGGGATGAACCCAAGAATATGCTTCTCTCTTCCCTCTCCTCTGCCACCCATGCAGAGCAAGAGTGCTGGGGAGAGGCCCCATCTCTCCATCGCACCTTGTTTTTGGGGAGAAATCCCCCTGAAGTATGCCGGGGAGTGGGCCAGGCCTGCCATCCTCCCATGGAGATGCTGCGGTAAAGCAAATAGCCCCAGCAGTCTACTGGGCAGCTGCTTCCTATTTTCATTTAGAAGGGCATTTTGTGAATTGGGCATGGGGGATCATGGTGCTGTCACAGCTTCAGATGAGCATGTCAATTTCTAACTGCTTGCCCCAATCCTTCTGAGCCCCCAAGGATTAAGATACTTGTAATAAAACTAAATTAGAATGCACTGAGTTCTGCCTACGACCCTCTGGCAGCTCATGGCCCTCTGCTTTTATGGCGGCAGACCCCTGGAGCTATCTTTCAAAAATTGGTGACTGGGGAAAAACACGGCCATTTCTACCAGTAGGTAAAACAGCTGCAGCTGGTGGGGAAAGAAGAGACGATGCAGTCTTTCTTATGAGAAGGTCCATCTCTTGTCAGCTCCTCATCTCTGGAGGAAACTTATTCCCCTCCGCTGCACCAGCTCTCTCTTCTTCCAAGAAGGGCAGATCAGGAATACACAAAACAGGAAGATTTTGCATAACACTTTTTTTTAATCAAGTTAAATTTGCCTAAAATGCCCCAGCACTTTCCAGGGAAGATGACCCCAGACTCCCTAGGCTTCTTTGTGTTACATGACCACAGCCTCTCTATCCTGCTGGACACAGAGCACTAAGAATGCGCCCAAACCAGTTCTGCACATGAAGCACACTCTAGCAGATGGGGCCTTCTGGGAGGCAGGAACTTCTTTTGGTTTCATTTTTTCT